TCTTTTACAAGCTCTCTGGTCCCATGGAGCCCAACCTTCCACCACAAAGAGGAGCCAAGGTGTACAATGATCTGATATCATCTTCCCTAACTACCTGCCACAGACAAGGACAAGCATCTGCTTGGTTTCTTTCCCCCACCAAGTCTGCCAGAACAGTGCTCACCCCCTTTTACAAATCCTCCAAGAAAATCAAATTACCTTCTTCTGATAAATGGATAATGTCAGCTCTGTAGAGCTCAGTCAGTCAGAAATGTTTGTCTGGGTGCAGGAGAAATGGCCCAAAGACCTCTCTGTGACATTCTGGATTTCTCTATTCTCTGGCCTATTTCTCTATTCTCAGGCCAGATCCAGCCAGATATCTAGGACCACCCTTACCCCACTAAACTTGGCATGGCAAAATGGCTGACCAGATAATGGACACCCCAGGCTATGTGTAGGTCAGAAATTGTGTAGGGTTTGACAGATTAGGGCTTTGCCCTTGAGAAGGCTCAAGTCAGTCCCATCAGTGTGGTTTACCAGCACATCAGGGGGTGGTCCATTATACCCCTCAAATAGCAAGGGCATCAAACCACTCCATCTCAGACCACTCATGCGTCACCACTCCACCATGGCAACACCGCCAAGGCTGAGCTGCTCCTGACCTATTGAATTTAATATTGAATGTCAAAATGTGCGGGGGGGGGGGGAGGGAGAGATTGATAATCCACCTGATCCAGTCTCATATATTTTGTCCTGGTTTTGTGGAAGAGGATTATGAGATTATGACAATCCTGGTTTTGGGGTTGTCCAAAAGTTGTTTTCAGGTCTGGTCCTACCATGAGACAGAGCGAGATTGCTGCCTCATGTGGCAGATTTGGGATGTCCTGGAATTGTTAACTATTAAATGTGCTGTTGCTTTGTTTTTTGTATTGAGAAGGATAGAGGGGGACACTTGTAGAATTCTCCCCCTCATTTACAAAATAACTCTGAGTGCTAAGTACTTTGAGAGCCAGTGTGATGTAGTGGTTTGAATGTTGGATTAGGGCTCTGGAGACCAGGGTTCAATTCCCAGCTTGGCCACAAAACCCACTGAGTGGCCTTGAGCAAGTCTCAGAGGAAGACAATGACAAACCTCCTCTGAACAAATCTTGATAAGAAAACCTTGTGATAGGGTTGCCTTACGGTTGCCATAAATCGGAAATGACTTGAAGGCACAAATAAAGCACTTTATCTTGAATAAGTGGCCTGTGACATTTACTGCTCTGGCTGATCCTTGCTGCTTAATTTAAGGGTTGTATCTGTGGAATCTGAGTGGTATGTTGCAGTACACTAGTTAAAGGGATGACAGGGGAGATCCAGGATCAAATCCTCACTTAAAACATTCAGTGCAAAATTTACCATGAAGCTTCTAGTATGATCAACAGAAATTCTATTGATCATATCAGTACGTTTATGATAAATTTTGCACACAAAGTAGATGTGCAGAGAGAGATCCATGTCCTTACTGCTTTGGGGAGTAGTTTCTGACAGTGTAATCTTGTACATGTTTACACATGTTTTCAGTGTTCAGTGTTCAGTAGCACTGAATGACAGACAGAAAGAAAGAAGTTTGTAGTTTTTTCAGTTAGTCTCAAAGGTGCTACAAAATCTCTACACATATTAATTCTACAGACTAACATAGCTATATCTTTAAATTCTACCACTATGGAAAGCACCAAATTTAGCTGAATGAAGTGGGATCCATCAACCTCTTAAACAAACTTGCCCAGATACAGACAGATATTTTCTTTCTCAACAAATGCAAGCAGCAGGATGTCATTCATAAAAGGCCTGCATATGATGAACTCTTTGCAAACTACATTTTACACAAAACTCATGGGTTCTCCTCATGATTACTGAGACTGCAGTAACCAACATTCTTTTTCAGTTTTCTTCCTCCTGTCTGTCCCTGACTTCCACTCCACCAAGACCATCTGAGGAAGTAGATTAAAGTCTGTGAAAGCTCATGCTACAAACTTTTTTCTTTTTTACTTTTTACTTTTTTTCAATTAGTCTCAAAGGTGCTACAAAAATCTCTATACTTACTGATAGGATTTGTGTACAAAGAATTTAGTCAGTATCTGTAATTCTGCCTTGCTGTGCAAAATCATGCCCATTGTTATCATTTCAGTGATATCCTGTATTGCAATATAAAACATTCCTGTTTAGAAATACCTCCTTTCACCTCCAAAATACCTCCTTTCACCCCAGCACCAAGATTTCCATTTCTCCACCCAGCAACAGAGTATGGCCATTGAGTATGCTCTGTCTTTATTTTAAAAATCTGTAAGAATGTTTTGTGTTTATGCTAACAGGAGACTTTATCACTGGGGAAAATTGTAGAAAATTGAGGGTTTAAAAACTGTCATTATCCCGGGGAAGTCATGCAAACGCAATGAAGATTTTCACACAACATCGTGATTAAAGAGGACTTATCTCAGGAATAACCAGCAACAAATCATTCATGGGGAAATCCTCTTTAAATGCAATGTGTGTGAAAATCTTCCAGTGATAGTGCGACTTTCCTGGGATAATGACTGTTTAAACCCCCTACAATGGACTAGTGCTATGCATTTATGGTTATGAAACAAGAGTTACTACTCTGGATGTTCATGGTAAGAGAAAAAGGGAAATTTGAATGTAGTGTTTCAAGAACTACATCTAAAATAAGACAGGGGAGATGTACTTTGGTTACAGAAGCCCCTAAAGCTGGTTTCTATATATGAAAGTCCACTCAAACAGCCATTATAACATCTACATATGCTGCCTGTCACTTTCTCTCTGCAACTGGAAGAAGCAGAAGAAACTGACTTCAGGGAAGGGATAAGAAAGTAAAGTCAGTCTACACAGAGAGCTAGAAAAAACAAGAATGGAAAATTCAGAGGACTATTCCCTTATTCTCCCCCCCCCCACACACACACACATACTTTCTGTAGTGTTGATGCTTTAATATACGACATTAAGACCTTCAGATTGTTTTCCTTAAAAATTATTTCAAAAAATATTTCTACAAACCATGGGGTTCCTTCAAGTATAGTAATATTTTAGAGCAGGGGTAGGCAAACTGTCCCCTTTAAGTGCCGAGGGACTTCATCTCCCAGAATCCCAACTATTGGCCAACATGGCTGAGGCTTGGCCAACATGGTTGAGGCTTCTGGGAGCTGAAGTCCCTCGGCCCTTAGAGACCCTATTTACTTATATAAAATAGCCAGAGGTAGGCTAATATCAAGTTTCATCTGTTAGGTGATGCTTCTGTATCTTCTCTTAACAATAAAAAGCTACGTACTTTTATTCACACTGTTGAAATCAACAACATTTCTTTCCTTTTCTAAATGGAACAGCTCCTCAGTGGTCTCTCAAGGAGGAATAGTTGCTCCCCGACTGCCATGTAGATTTATTGAAACCATTGACATTTCTGTAGGCAAGTGGCCAATCTCTGGATGTGACTTCTTGAGATAAAATATACAGGTCACATTAGTCCTATACTGGTTGCCAATCAGTCTTGAGAGAGAGAGTGATACTTAGCAACATCCAAAGATGCAGCAGCATAATTTCTCATTTTTAAGGGTTTTCATATGGGAGTTCTTTCTTTTTAACTATGTTTCCTAGTGCCTGGCATAATGAGCCTTGTTCTATATTTACTCACACTTATGTATAAAGCGAAAAGGAACACTGACAGTTCTGGGGGCGAAGGAAGCTTATTAATTATATTGATCATTTTCAAATACATTGATTTGGAAGTAAGAGGAAGTATTTTCAATGAAACATATTCCCAGGGAATGAGTTTTAGAATCATATTCTTACTCATTTCTACCCTGTATGCTTAGAAACCAATTAATGCCTTTCCCATGATCCCACTGGACCAAAGTTCTATTTATTTCTCAGCTATACATTTCAAAGAGGAGCAAAGTTAAATGTTTAAATCATCTCTCCATCAACCAACTAATATTAGCCCACCTGACTGATTTGTCGATGTCAGTCCTTAAAATTTTAGTTTGAAACCAAAAAAAAGAGGAAATTTCAGCTTTGCAATTAATGCAATGCATATTATCCCATCTAATTATGTCTGACATATTCAAGGTGTTTGAAATTAGTCCCTGTAATTGCAAAACTCTGGCTGCCCAAAAGCAGCACACCTAGTAAATATTCATATGTTCAAATAGCCACTTGTAACTTTTAGGCTGTTAAACATATACTTACTTTTTCTTCAATTTTTTTTTTAAATCTATCTTATACTAGAAGAAAGCCATGAAAAGCAGTTTTTATCAGGTCTAGCAAATACTAGATAATATATATATTTGTATAATATATTATATTACCAACATGTTCAGGGCATGTCTATACAGGTCATTTAAACCATTTCTCACTGCCCTTATGGCGCCATCTTCACGATGCAAGGTCAGAGCCCCAATTTGAGTGCAGACTGTCTTCATGATATGAGGCACTGAATCCATCCCATTCCAGCTTTAAAATGGATTTCAAAAATTTACCTTTTGCTCCCGATTTTCTAGGAAAACCCAAAGCATTCCAGAGCGATGCTGGGTGGTGCTTTTTTGTACAGGTATCCCACTGTGCTGCTTGACACCAGTGCCACTGTGGCAAGTCAGTCCCTAAGGTGTTCAGCTATGTGATTGATGCTAGGCACCTCATTTCTGACCTCAGAGGGAGCGACTGGTGCCAGCAGTGATGGTCCCAGGTGGCAGCAAGAACACATGTGTAGACAGCTGCCCAATGTTGCTCCAGAGTGTGGAGATAACAGGTGAATTTGGGTCAGCTCTGGGACCAGAATACTCCAGGAACAACCCAGAGTATTCTGGCCAGTGTAGATGAATCCTCAGGTATGACTTGGATGTCATGAAATCTTACATGATTCATGAGGGCCAAATTAGAGACCTTCTTAGAGACTTCATTCCAGTGGTAGACATGGGTGAAGCAAAATACTGCAACAAAATATCAGTGTATTTTAGCTTAAAGCGCTTATTGCTAGTTGTTGGGCCTTAGGAGACACATTTTGTAGATTGGGCAGTAGAGAGGAGAAAACCAGGCAAAGCTGGCACTAAATGTGGAAGGAGTATAGCTAACTGAGGAATCCCAGAGTGAGGCCCTAAAGAACCATATTGGATTCAAAGGACTTGTTTTCACCACCACTGGCCTAGAATATGGCACAGGGAGCTGCAATGGGAGCAGACTTCTGCTAAAACAAGTCTGGCTGCAACCCAGCATAATTGACTACTGTTGGCATCATTGTGACCTGTAATGTGATAGATCAGAAGCCGACGTCTCCAAATGATGTTTAATTCTAACTCCTGTTAATTTAATCCAGGATGCTTAATGGTTTAAAATGATAAAAATTATAGTCCAGCAATACCTGGAGGGCTATAGGATCTCCACACCTATGATAGATCATCACATTTCTGTACAAAACATCCTCCCAACCTGACAGGACTGACTGATTGTATGGGAACCATGAGTTCTGTTTGCTGCAATATATATGTAAAACTAGAGGTGCCATTCAGAAAGGAACTGAGCAATATGTATGTGGTTGTTGTGCTCTCAGTGAAACTGAACTGGAACACAACACCAGATTTTTCTGACATGGAGCTACTTTGCTCTGAATCAGGCATTGGTCTATCTAATCCTGTCCTATTTGTCCTGATGGGATGAAGCTCTTTAAAAACTCTACTCTGCCTCTAAGCTCCTTTGGATCTAGGACCTTGCTGCAATGCAAGCAGATCACATGTGTTGCTAGCAGAATATCAACACCATAGTCAATTGGTCTCATGCAGCATGTGAGAGAGAAGATCTCTACCTGACCCCTCAAGAGTGGCTCCTGGCCTAAGTAGGACTACATTGGGCTGGAAAGATTAAAGGAGTTGAATCAGTGTATTTCATATTTTCATATGACGCTCTGCATGCAGATTTGTGCAGAATGTCACAGTGCATAAGGCTCAGTGCATGATGTAATGGATGTTTATTTACCATGGAAAATGTATCCACCTGGCACACTTTACCATGCTAAATCAACAGTTGTTTAGTGTGATATTGCATGTGTGTTGAGGGGGTGCATTCTTCAGGAAAGGATTGAGGTGGGGGGAAATGGCAGCATTTTAAATTTTTTCCATTACAAATAATTCCCAGAATCCCCCAACTAACATGCCATGACAGCTGGGAGATTCTGGGAGTTATCATTTTTTTAAAAAAAAAAGTTAAATTCTGGAAAATGTCATGTGGGAGTAGATTTAAAGTGATTCATCTAGGTGCATTCTACATTCAACAAAACCCACTCACATACTTCAAAACCTTTTAAGCATTACAGAGCTGTTACGCTAAGACAACCACAGTGTCTGAGTCACTGGTTGTTTTTTTTTTAAATTTAAAATTATACAAAATTATTGTAGCTATGGGAGAGCACAGTGGGATAGACAGTGTTTGACTCACATGGGATTCCAAAATGTCCATGTTTTTGCAGGCTTCCTCCATGTGCCACTGCACATCCTCATGGAGATGATGTTGACAAAACTATACAAATGCAGTGAGTGTTCTCCACTTTTGGCCCACCAAATGTTTTGGACTTCAGCACTTAGAAGTTCCAGCCAGCTTGCCCAATGAACATGGATTCTGGGAGCTAGAGTCCAAGGTGCCTGGGAGACCAAAGGTTGAAAACCACTGTTCTAGAGCATGTAGAATATCTGGGGGGAGAGGATGCCCTAAATCCTACTGTTAGTATCAATCCAATTAATCCAATTGGATTTACCTGTATGTTGTTGTCTTGCCGTTCAGCAACTGATTCAATGAGTCTGCTCTGGCTGGGACTAACCAACAGGACTCCAGCCTGCATTCCCCATATAAACCTGGCCAATTTGGCACTGTAGAAATAATCTAGCTTGACACCATATTAGCTTGTTGTGGCATCAGAGCTCTCAGACAGAGAAGGCTAAATGTTTCACAAAACTACACTCCCCAGAATTCCATAGCAGTGAAGCACAGCAGTCAAAGTGGTGCCAAACTAGATTATTTCTGTAGTGCAGATGAAGCCTGAAACACATTTTGTTTGAGAATGAGAAAGGACCTCTTCATTTCATTTTCCAAAGTTGTTGGCTTTCTTTCCTATGGGAGGCTAGACTTACCTTCCTCTTTCTACTTCTCCTCCACTGGTACGCAGTGATTTTTAGGTTTTTCACTAAGGGCCCTCTCACATTACACTGTAATGTTCAGTTCATCTTTATTACGGCCATAGACCAGCATGATTACACTGCAATGGTGCTATATTCCTCTTTAAGTGCCATGACAACATCCTGTGGAATCCTGGGATTTGAAATTGAGGGAACGGGCATTGAGAATTCTCAGCCAGAGAGTTCTTGAGCCTCACTAAACTACAAATCCCAAAATTCCACAAAATGTTGCCATGGCAGTTAAAGTGGAATAAAGCCCTGTAACAGTGTAATGTGATAGGGCCCTAAGTAATTAGTTCCAATGGAAAGGTCTTTTAATGAGTGGGGGTTACTGCACTATTTTCCTCAGTCGTTATGCTTTAAATGCTTTTAAAATCTATTGTAAAGGCTTTTTATATGCTGTTTAAATCACTTCCTTTAAATTCAGCTATCTTTAGTTGTTCCGTTTAAAAAAAACACTTTAATACTATATTTTTAGCAGTGTTCTATTTCAGTCTACGTTGTAAGACACCTTGGTGCGATATGGGAGAAAGCCAAGATATAAACTGATAAAATCTGAGGGTTCCCATTTGTCAGACAATAGTTTTCCTTGTAAGATTAGAGTTGACTCCTGTTAGGTTTTAAAAGCTGACTGGAACATGGGTTTTCAGAATGGAGAAGACAGGAGAAGCCCTACAGTGTGCTTTAAATAGTAGGATAAGCAATAGTTCATGGCCTAAAGCTATAGATCTGAATGTTAGACTACAATTTTAAGCAGACGTAGGTGTGGTAATTAGGATTGCCAGCTTAAAAACTGGGTCTTGTACCTTCAGTGCTTGTGTTGTCATCTGTTGTCATGTGCCTTCAAGTCATTTCCAGCTTATGTTGCTCTAAGGCAGGGGTTGGCAACCTACAGCCCACGGGCCAGATCCGGCCCCTCGAGGCCTTTGGACTGGCCCCTGCCGCCCCACACTCTGCCACCACGCCGCCGCACACGTCGCAGCCACCATTTTGTTTTCCAAAATGGCGGCGGTAACTCGTTTGCGCATG